GTAAAAACAGTGTTCCAGTGCGTGAGTAAATGCACTTCGAACCCTGCTAGTGGCACAGGTATAAGTAAAAATGCTTCATTTAGTGCATTGGTACTCAAGAAGCATCTTTGTTGCTCTACAGTACAGCTCCACATCAGGTAACTACCACAAAAACGGGTCAACATCAGCCTAACACATGCTGTACATGTTTGTCATGTCGTGCAGTTTCTCAGTGTGTGACTGGGTGTGTGGGGAGAGTTGGCTGGCCATAAAAGACTCTTTAACCCACCGCCCCAGCTCTCAAGGCTGGGCACCAGTGTCCAGTGTTAAATGGAGTATAAGTTGAAAGTAATTTGTATAATTACAGCCACAAAATTAAAGTTAGTATATCCACTAGTACTAAGCTACTGTCAACTGTTACTTACCTATGCTAAGTGGTTGTCATGTAAACATCCTGTTCAATTGTTTAGCGCGCCGTGTAGGGCTTAATACTAGGCATGCATGTAACATGCACGCACGGACAAATCGACTGCGCAAATGTGTGACTGCATGGACACTGGGCAATAATGGGCAAAATGTGTCCCATGACTGTTAACGCAAGTGCTACAAACAACTCTTTAGCAAAGAGTGGAACTTTCTGCCTCAAATAGGTAGACAGAGGAAGTCCTTGAGCGATGATCTTTTATTCTTTTGATACAACAGAGTTATTAAATTTGAAGGGAGTACCATGTTTCTTGCGAATAGTATTGATCAGAGGGAGGGTGTGAGGTTTGAAGAGGGATTGAGTAGCAAGGTCATTTTTCGCTGTACAAGACATTGGTAGAGTTTAAATGAAAAGCACTGAAGTGCAAACCCTCAGCGCACTGTGATGCGCACGCATAAGTAAACGCATGCGCCGTACCACTAATTGATGGGCTGGGTTTAGTTTTAGCTGTTACTCGTGGTCTCTTGCCAGCTCGCGCAGAGTTTGACGCGGGCTAACTACACTTCTAGATAGCATGCGACAGGCGATACACGCTCTGCTTTGCATCTTCTGGTACCTCCGAAGTACGCAGAGCACGCGGATCGATCTGACCGTGGTAGGCCATCCCGTCCGTTGTGTATTGGCATAGGGGCCTTTTCGCGCTGTAGCTCTGCAACGGAGCAGTTTCAGAGAAAACCCCACATATTTTCTGACCTTCGTCGCCCGTTGGGTAGATGGTATCGTTTCTGGGACGAACAGACATTCAAGAGGTGAGATGTAGAATAACAGACAGACACACGGACGGACAGTCCCAAATATGAAAAGCACTAAAGTGCAAACCCTCGGCGAACTGTGCATGCGTGCATGGTAGCACTAATTGATGGGTTGGGCTTTGTATGCGTTTTACTCGCGGTCTCCCATTAGTAGCTCGCAGAGAGTCTGACACGGGCTAGCTCAGTCGATACACGCCATTTGTTGTGACTTCTTGTGCCTTCAAGATAGACAGAGCAAGCGAACCCTGTCGAGGTAAGCCTGTGCAAAATATAGCGCATGCGCATTATCCACAGCGATAAAATGGCGACTACCGGCATGCCATACAATGCTGGAAGCGCTCTAGTTTTGCAACGGAGCATTTTCAGAGAAAATCCCACAAATTTTCTGACCTTCATTGCCCGTTAAGTATGTAGTATGTGAGACGAAAGAACACTGGAGAAGTGAGATGTAGAGTAACAGACAGACAAACCCAACTACAGTACCCTTGCTGCGCATGCGCGCCGAGGGTTAAAAATACGGCCATGCAGAAAACAATATTCCTTTCACAGATCAATACCTGAAACTGTTTTTGGCATCATTAAGCAATTAGATGTTTGGAGCTAAGTAAGGTTATGGTTTTAATGGGCATTCTTAGTGTTCAACAATCACATCTCTGATTGCATCTGGGTAACTGTAAGGAGATGAGGCTTTAAACATTTTTTTCACCTTTCTTCATTTATGAATGACGTTTTTAAGCACAGCTGCCACGCAAATACCTCTATTCAGGAATTACATGGCCAACCTTGGTAGTTTCCACTCAGATGTGGTGATAGATTCTTTACCACTATAGCCACATTCCAGTCTAGGACAACCAGCCTTTAACTGTAACATAGATACGTATTATTACAAACCACTAACGGTATTATGGTGCTCACCCTCCATGCTACTCATGAAATAATCATTAAGAGTCTGTGAAACACTTTTTGAGGACACATGAGGGAAGACCGTGATGTTCCTCGGATGGATAAAAACACGCAACTGTATCATAAGGAAAACAGTATGCATCACGTTAAACCTCGCCTCCACTACAACCTAGTGATTGTGAACTCTGGTCTAAACACACTGTACAACACTTCTTCAGGTCAGGAGACCACATCAGATCTCTAGAAATGGATTAGTATAATAACTGCATCAAACCATAACACGAACTAGGTATACGTACCTGTATCCCTCATACCACAGCAACATGTTGTTTCGTCAACTTGCCCTGGGAGCTTGAGGGCATGCATGCTGCGCGCAGCAGAAGGATATTGAAAAAGTGGTCAATTACAATTTTTGAGAGATCTTGAGGAGTTCCTGGCCATGTCTTTCTTGGACTGCAGCATGATGTGTCTGTAGGGGATGGAGTATGGAGCTGTAGTGGCACTGACATGGACCAATTGAGCCCCGACCTTGAACTCACCAGATCAGAGGATTCGCTAGGATTGTAGTAGCTGCTGGCCAGCTCCACCCGGCATGGTATAGAGTCATGATATACATGGAGGTGTACAAAATTTTTTAGAAACTGTCTATGTCCTGTGGTTATGGCCGAAAAATTATATCCCAACGCATTCTACTGCATGTGTATCATCAGCGCCGTTCTATAGTGTGCAAAATTTGCCACAGTAAATCTATTAAAGTCAATATTTTGCTCATAGTTCGGTGACTCTCCCTTCAGGGCCTGCCAGTGGTACGTTTTGCACAGAAAACTCTGTTGTATTCTTTCTGTGGAAAAAGGCGAAGATAATGATGATTATTTAAAGTGACAAAGCGATGTTAAATGTCTATCTTTTAGATAGCCAATTCCATGGATTATGTGAAAAAACACAATTTTGAGTAGCTCATCAAGTAGAGCTGCTGGTCAGCATTGCAAGATGACGCGCGCTGTCCGTTCTAAATCCCCAAAACGGTTAGGTGTCGACTGCACTGGATCTCTTGTCCTCCACCCACTTTTTCATTCTCCTCTCAGAAACTTGCTCCTCAAGAAGGCAAAATCGGGAAGGTGCTAGCTCTTTCTTTCCGACCTGGAAATGAAACTATGCCTGTTTGAAATCGACAGCTTGGGATTGGAGGTAATTTACAATCTTCAGTGGACAGAGCTCTTGACGCCTGGGGAACGGAAATATCATGACGGTTCCGAAAAACCTTTCCCCCCGCCGCAATAAAGACATCGATAATCGGCCATTTACATTAAATTTGAGTTGACCCCACTGTATACAGAAAACGAAGAAACAATTAGTAAAGTGTATGGATAGAGTTGTCTATATTAATTGTGTTTGAATCGTGTGTCTTCGCAACAATTGCGCGTTCTTTAAGGTATTGGACATTCCACATTTGGCTTCCCGTTAGGAAACTTGAAAAAACCTACAGAGAAGTATTACCTAAATACATCTGACAAAAAGGAGTTCTTCAAGAGCTTCTGTACGCTTTTGGTCATGCATTTGTTGTTAAACATCACACCCCCCACCCAAGCGCACTACACCCAAAATGTACCCGTGATATTATATATAAATTGAATTAGCTTCTTACAGAGTTGTCATAAGAGTGGTACCGAAAAAATGTCTGTATCCCTGGAAGGGGACACCCCACCTCGCATCCTGGGGAGGAAGTCGACCAATCCTAGCCACTTCGATATATCAAGACTGCACATTTTCCTTGCGTGGCTAATAGTATCAAGATAGTAGTGGTCCCAGCCTTACAGAAATACGATGGATTATACATCTCTTACAAAGCTGGAGGGGTGGTTAATGAAGGCAGAAGAAACAAATAGTTTTGTGCCCCTCTTCCATGTTTTCAACGGATGCAACTCCTATTCGTCGATCATAGTACGGAGGTGGTTTACTAACTCTTTCTTCACTTCTTGAACATGATTAAAGCACAAGAACCTTAGCCGGTGTGCGTAGTAAACCGTATGTAGAAGCAACCCAAACATACGTGCTGTCTGTGCGGGTATGTACTAGAATGCTTGGCAAATTCATCAGTTCTTCCACCTCATTTCATGAATAAAGCGCTCTGTCCATTTAAAGCAGGAAAATAAGCTCTAAATAATATAAAGCTCTGACACTCCAATTACGTTAAGGAAGAGATTTATTCCTGTGAGTGTGTACTAGGTTAATGGTAACACATACTCAATAGCAGGATTCTGCACTAGACCGGAGCCAAGAAGGTTACCTGCTCGAGCGGTGCCTGTAAGACACGTGGCACAACAGTCATATCCTTCAAAATGAAGGGACTAGTTAGGGATGGCTTGCAGGCAGGTCAAAAGGAAGAAACAAGGGGCTCATTACCACACAAAACGATGCACAAAGTACATGACACCATCGCAATATCTTGTTCGATATTAACGTTGCATCCCTAGATGTATTGGAATGATGGGATTTGTCCTTTCTTCTTCTACTTCTTCTTCATATATATTATGTTTCGACCGTATAGAGAGTGATGCATTCGCACCGGCCAATAGAGCAAAAAGGTCTACCACGCAAGCCCAGGGGCTTGTTGATTGGGAGAGGAGCTAAACACAGTGGTAAGGGGACCCGCGGGCGTTCAAGGTGTGCGATTTCAGTTTCATGGCAGACCGTGGTAATCACCGGCTACCAACGTGCAGCAGGGACACAGAATGAAGGCCCTAGTCTTTTCAGCACCCTGCTAAACACAGCGCAGGACCACTGCCACGTTGCTCCCTATGCACATCAACAGGGAACGTAGTCATTGGAGAACATGGCGCACACTTACTTTTACCGAATGCAACGGGGAGGCTGAGAGTCCTCTGCGGGTCTGTCAACTTCGCCCCGGTAGCTAAGATTCGAGCGTGCACGCGCATTGGACCAAGGCCCACAAGACACTCGCGATGTGCGCCCGGATCCTATGTTGGGTTAGCAGCAAAATGGAGTTTGTACCGCGTCGACCCTGGAAGAGCTCCATGATCCTACCGGACGTGCACTTGGGCAAGAAAGCAATACCGATTCCTCGTTTGAGGCACTGTGGAACACCTCCGGCGAATTTGCGGACGTTCAGTGAAAAAATCAGAGCTTTCACAATGGTACTGCGGTAAGGATGCAGACATGCAATGGGAAATCGCGTATGAGCAAATTCTGCGTGGAAGACTGAGGTGCGTATCGAGATTCTTTCTGGTAACATGTATAGGTAGATATGGGCCCGTAGACTATTGCTCCAGGTGTTTGCATGCCTAGGGCGCTATTCATCACCGCGTTTTTAGTCGTTTTGTAAAGCGGATCCCGTGAGAATCACCCTGCCACCATATACTTAGCGAGTTCTACCGACGCTCTAACACGCGAGAGGCCAGGGTTGACTAGTGCTCTAGTGGAGAACGTTTATGCTGTACCACCTGACAATTTATACTAGAACAGTCTCTACTAATTAGCCGGAACTCGTTGATTATAATAAAAGTAATTAGTCTGCGTATCCAATGGTGCATCAAAACGGTATTCAAGCACATAATCATAAGTACAGTAGTTAATATAGAGGATTGACACAGGTCACTACCGCTCATGCCAGCCCATTATGCCCCTACAATTGAGGATACAAGTACTTTCACTTTCAGTTTCACAACATCAGATGTTCCGCTTGACAACAAGTTGCTGGCGTGTGGTCAAAAAGCGCATGGACCTAAGAATAATCGCTGTATAGATGACTGGTCATTAATGCATTGGACGTCATTCCTTTCCGGATATTTCCTCTGCCCTCTCCCTATAAAGTAGCTTCGTATGCATTCCTGGATAACGAAGTGACCCAGAAACGGGCGTTTTACTTGACTGTCCTTGGGCGGCGACTTATAATTGTATGCGGACAATCCATCCTCTGCAGCTGACGCCAGGCCCCGAGCAGACCGTTAGACCATCCGTAGCCCCGTTCGAGGCTCTTTCAGCTTAAACCCACTACCGACTGTCCCACCTATCGGATCTCGCCGAGAGTAAGTTTTCTCGGTCGCACACACACAAAGTGGGATCTAGGCCCAACCTCCGTCGCCGAGCTACGTTCTTCGACTATTGCACTTTGGGCTTGTTGACGATGATCCATGATAGTGTATCTTTTTCCCCTTTTCCCCCTGTGATAGTCGTTGTCGACTGACACCGCCCATCCAAACCCCCTGATTGCCCCCTAGTCCGGAGCTAGATCTCACGTTCAGACTCATTACATGCCGTCGTCGTGTGAGTGAGACCGACCGCGCCCCGGCACGAAGCTGTATTCGTGTAACACTGACGTCAGATTCTAGCACTAGAATTTCTCCTCCCATGGCCGACCTGTGCGCATCCTCACGTCAGGGCCGTCCACCAAGACGGGAGTGTTGCATTCCTCTTCCCCGTATTCGTGTATCCAGCCCGTTGCCTACGATCGTCGTCTTCATGCGGTCGTAATTTTCCTTGTATTCGCTCCTGCAGGATAGGCCCAAGCCCCATGCCCGCTTTCTTTTTTCGCTGCCCGTGTAACGTTTTCGTCATCAAGACGGGCACTCCCTTCACGCTGGCCGCATTGCCAGTTCAGGCCTCTGCAGTCCTCCAGGGCTTTAAGGGCTAGTCCGCCCGTCCGCCCTGGTGGTCTGTTGTTCTTTCCTCCCTGGTCGCGGCTACCGGTGATGCAGCCCCCGTACATTGTGACGTAGCCTATACTATCACCTGGTACTTGTACCACTCCCTGTATCGTTCGTGTTAACGCTAACTTTCCCCACCACCCTTTTGACGTGTGCTGAAACACCAGTTCGAGGGTTTTGTCTCGTGTGATTTATGGCAGGGGTGGCCTACTGGGGTTCTCCTCTTGGTCGCCGTAAAGCTGGAGAAGACACTTTTCTATTTGTGTGCTTTGGCCAGGGCGGAGGGTTTTTTTTTTTTGAGTTATTTTCTTTATCATGTGCCCAGTGTTGCCGCCTATCTCAAGGAAATCCATCCCGTGGCGGGTCCCTTTTTTTTTCCCTTTGTCCCTCCCATGGATTTGGTAGAATCCATTTGTCCAGGTTTTCCGTTATCAGATTTTGCACTAATTTTGGTATGTTGGCTGTCAAGGCCCCTACTTCTTCCTTGGGTCAGGTTTGTCTCCTGCGCTTGCACAATACAATTCGGACTGAGGGACCGCCACACCGGGACAGCCCTCCCTACTAGTCAGTTTTCGCCCTGACCCATTCCCCAACGATGGTGAGTGGGAGATGAGGTTGTCGGTACACTGAAAGGGGTTCTTCCAAGTAAGATTTCCAGTTGACCCAGTGCCCCTTCCCGTTTTTATCCCTCCCGATCAGTCCCTAGCACTCGTGGATAAAGTTGAACACGGAGTGGGAGCGACTCACACATGAGGGAACTCTCGCGGACGGCCCTAGTCCAACAGCGCTATTTCCGAGGGCGTTGCCCTCACCAGAGTCTGTTTCTGAAGAAGCGATTGTCAGACGCCCTTTCCTTCCCGTGAGGCATCTGTGGCGCCTTAGTGTACCGTAACTCCCGGTGTTAGTTAGCGTATACTCTTCCAAGTGGCAGACTATTTGCGCGGTTCAGGCAATGCGCTTTGCCGCGGGATTTGCCGTCAGTGCGATTATCGCGCTCCTGGCTGCGGCTTCACCCCAGGTAGCTGATTCATTACGTGGGTGTTCCGTTCTCTCCGCGGTTGCTGTGCCTTGTTTGTGTGCTATTCGCTGGTCCTCAGCGAGGCCCTTTGCCGGGTCTCCTGGCCTGTTCTTACTCGTACTACCCATCGCTGCTATCTACTTCGTGCGGTCTCTGTGAGGAGCTGACAACGACCCTGCCGCGGTGCCCAGTCGCGTCCCAGGTGCCGGGACGACCGTGGCGCTTCGACCCGCCTATCACGCCGTGCCGTGTGAATCTTATGACGGCCGACCGTGAACCCCTTTTTGGGGGTGCCGTTCGCTAGACCATGCGCGGGCCCACCAATCCACCCCCCTCGACTACACCGCAGACCACAGAAAGCTTTTTAGTTGTACGAAGCCAGCACCGACCACCCGTTTGCAGATTCCTGTGATAGCCCCGTTACTATTTCCTGACACAATGTTCCTCTATCCAGTGGCGAACGCATTGAGCACTCACCCAACTTATACTTCTCCCCCTTCGAGCCCTCCTCTAATGCCCCTTTCCTAGCCTCACACACGCCGTGCTTGGCCCGGGGTCCTTGTGCCGCGGCGGTTCCCCCCCCGAACGTTACTTCACCTACTAGGGCATGGTCTATGCCACCTCTTGCATTCCTTCCCTCCCACTTGGCTGCCGTGATCTAATTCGGGCCACAGGTTCCGCCCAGTTCACTTCCCCCCAGCCGAATGGACCACACCCTAGGTGAAGCCAACCCCCACCACCCCCCACACACCCACACCCCCCCCACAAACCACGCCGACCCAATTGCTTACCACTGTTACCACCACAACCCCCCACAAAATGCCGAACAGGACCTATCCACAGACACGCGCAACCGAGCGACACTCACTGTCTAATCGCGCGCAACAACACGTGCATCCCATTACGCACGATATGCGAGTTCCCACCGGACCCGTGACAATGGCGACGACCGCAACACAGAAAATTTCAAAGACCAACGCGCCCCCAATGAACCACAAACAGAAAACAAACCGAAACCACACTCGGCCCCATATAAACATACAGGAGCAGCCCGCACAGGCCAGTCAACCTACACCCCCCCCCCTTCGCATCAACCCACACGCGGCTGGTCGCTATCTCTCAAATACGACAACGCTGCTGGTGTGCCACCCCAACAACCAAACAACACACCAAACAACCCACACAACCACCTACAAAAACAACATACCTCCCCTCCCAAACCCCCCCACAACCCACGCCACCAACCCCTCCACCACACCCAACAATCCTCACTCACAACCCCCACACAAAACCAACTACAATCAAAAACCCACCCCACTCAACCCAATCCCCCCACAACCAACCTCCCCACACCACCCGACAAACCACCGCAACAACAACCGACCACACAAACCCCCAAAACATTTTCGCACACCTACCCCCCGCAGCACCAAAAACCCCCCCACGACTCGATTGCTAACAAGCAACATACCACTACCCAAATACAACAACAACCAAAACAAAACAAACAAAAACTCCCCCGACATTCACAACACTCCAACCCAAAACCCTATCCCACACCCACCAAACCCAAACCAAAAACGGGAAACACCCCACACCAAAACAACCCACCAAACCAACACCAAACCCAACACTCAAAACAACAAACTACACCAACCAACAAACACCCAACAACAAATCACCAACATCAAACAAACAAACACCACCAAACAACCCCACCCCCCAACAAAACCAAAAAACAACACCCACAAAACAACCCACCAACAAAAACCACACACACACAAAAATCAACAAACCAACCACACACAAACCCCAACCCCCAAACACCCAAAACAACCCCCCAACAAACAAAAAAACAACCCCACCACCACCAAACAACACAAACAAAACCCAACAACACCAACAAACACAACCCACAGCACCACATAAACAACCCGACAATAAAACACACCCAAACCAATCAAACCAAAACCCCAACCACCAACCAAACACAGCACACAAACACAACCACCACTAACCACACCCAAAACCACACCAACCCACACCCCGCCTAGGACACCAGGAGCCTGTAAAGAACCCAATGCGGATGCCTATCGCTGCAGACTTCCAAAAATGTCTTGAGCACCCCGACATGCCACACCAGCAACACAAAAAACGAACACACCCCCGCCATAAACCCCGCACGAGGCCCTGAGGTTTTTACAGCCCTCCACTACTGTCCGACGGCCGCAGCTTATGCTGCGAGTTATCCGCGTGTGGACTCGGAGACACAAGACGATACGGCCAACACATCGAGAATCCCCCTCCAAAGTACATCCATCCAATCCACAAACCCACCACCCAACAGGAAAAACATACGGAAGGCCGACTCCGAGGGGGACCCTGAAACCACCCCTTTAACTACTCTTCAGCTCAGGAGCCCCCAGTAAGAGGGTGTAATAGGGGGACAACGTGTCTTCTTTGTTAATTCCACCCCAGGACAGAGAGGCTGTGCTTCAAGAATTGCACGAGGGCCATCCGGCATCTCTAGTTTATGAAGGCACTCGCCAGGTGTATGGTGGGATTGGCCCGGTATCACGGCAGATATCGAAAAGTCTGTCAGGCTCGTCGGGGGGGGGTGTCAACAAGTTCACATCACCACCCACCCCACTCCTACACCTGGAGGTGGCCTACTAGGCCTTGGGCTCGGTTGCACCTGGACTGTGCTGGTCTCGTTCAGGGAAATAACATACTCGTTGCAATTGGACGCCCACTCAAGTGGATTGAGGCGTGCGTACTCCGTCCATGTCATCAAACTGTGTCATCACGTGTTGCGGGACACTGTTGCCAGATTCGTGGTATGCCGGAGATGATGTTTTGAAATCGGAACTGCTTGTAGTAGTGAGTTCAAGCAGTTCCTTCTTCACAAGAAGGAGGGTCAGACATACTACGTCAGCCCCCTTCACCCGGCTTCTAATGCTAGCAGACTGTGCCGTTCCGATCATCAAGACCGAGGTTCTTTGAAGGAAATGTACTGAAGGTACAATGCACACTCGACTCGGCTAAAGGTGTGTTCACTTACCGAATTACTCGCAGAGTACCACAGGCAAGCTCCAGGCAAGCTCCAGCGCAGAGCTGTTGTTGGGAAGACGTCCACGTACATGTCTGGAACCACTCATACCAAATACCACTGACTGAGTCGAGCGCAGACAACACCAACAGAAGTTCAGACACGACGGTCGTGAACAGACTCGAACTTTTCGCATTGGTGATACCGTTTTTGTGAGAAATTATTGCATTATGGTACTGGATCTGTGTGGCTACCGGCCAAGATTGTTGAGAGTACTGGTCCAGTCTCTTTTCGTGTTGTTCTGGAAGATGGCCGTAACAGACGCTGTCATCAGGATCAGTTTGCGACCCTGGGTCGTCGACGATGGTCCTCCAGAGATGTCTGAGGTGTCAGTGGATGCCGAGGGAGAAGCTCCGCCTATAACTACTACTCCAGTTACTCTCACTAGTGGCTCCACTCTCATCCAGAACAAGGACCAGAACAGCCTGTGTCCTCAGAGTCAGCACGAACGAACAGTCGAAATCGAACGCCTCCGATCGATACGAATACCCGTCCATATCCTCTTCGTCAACGCAAGACTCGAGATGGGTTCGAACCTGGAAAGAACTAATTATTGTGCGACTGTGTGAGTACTCATGTATGTATGTGTGTATTGTAGTGCATGAATGTTGCTTTGTTTGTGTATATTAGAAGTATATACCCTCTTTAGGGGGGAGGAATGTTATAGATTGACTGGTCATTAATGCATTGTGACGTCACTTCCCTTTTTCTATTTCCTATTACATTTTTATATCACTATAAAAGTAGCTTTACGTATGCATCCTGTGTGCTTTGCCATACTCCATCGATATTTGCGAACCTAAGTTACGACAATCGCATAATTGTTAATTGATTTATTCTAGAAAGTCAGTTTTCAAAATTTTCGTTGTTGTTCAGTTTCAATAAGCGTATATCAAAAACCAGGTAAGATAATGAAATGAAACTTTGCACTGAGATTGGAATCCATGACAGGTTGTGCAAGAGCATTTTCATTTGTTTGTAATAATAATAATAATACTCAGGTGGCTGCCATAGCACTAGGGCCATAGACCACGCACCCAGAGCAATGGGTGGAACCGTTAACAAACGAACATACACCACATGAACATGAGGTGTCTGTCTCACCTCCCAGACACCTCAACTCACCCCTTCCACCAGCGACACCCTGCAGCTCCCCAGACGTAATCTGAGACTGGGTTTGTTGTACGCGGGGACTATCGCTGTATAACCTAACCTTTCTTAGCTCCCAAACATCCAAAATAAAAATCTTTAACAAGACCAAGCAAAGAACCAAATTTATCCTCCCACAGTTCACTACCCAATATAAAGGATGCTTTCATGAAACTATCAAGCGACTGGAAATGCTCAAACCCATCATCCCCAAGCTTCCCCTGCAGGGCAACTAAGAAATTGCTCCTAAGACTACTATATGCTGGACACTCCCACAACACATGACTCACACTTTCACACTCATCATCACACAACAGGCACTCCTTCACCCCCTCCCTCCCCCTATGCCTACCCAGTTCCTCATTTAGCCCATGCGTGCCTGATCTGAACTTAAACATTAATCTAGACCCAGCATCACTTTTCCCGGTATCAACAAAAAACAGCAAAAAATAGCCCAAGGCCACACATTATGATAGAGATAAATAAAGTGTACTAACTAGGTAATGCAAATACCAACACTTTGTATATACATGCAACACACGATTAGTATCAAAATGTAAATATTACAAGTTTGTAAAGAACAACAAACACCCTCAGGCAATAAAAACTTGTAAACTGTGTTTGTGCCTATAACTTGCTTATGGTGGGTCCTCTAACAATGAAACTTGGTACACTGATGTACCATGATAAGAGTTCATCAAAACAGAAATTACAAGTTAAACAACAACAAACAGACCCAGGCAATAAAAACTTGCAAATGATGTTTGTGCCCATAACTTGCTTATTGTGGGTCCTATAACAATAAAACTTATTGACCATGATAAGAGTTCATTGAAACAGATATTACAAGTTTGTAAACAACAACAAAGGGTCTTAGGCAATAAAATGATGTTTGTACCTATAACTTGCTTATTGTGGGTCCTCTAACAATGAAACTTAGTACACTGATTTACTATGATAAGAATTCATCAAAACATAAATTACAAGTTTGTAAACAACAACAAACAGCCTAAGGCAATTAAGTGCTGTTTTTCCTATAATATTTTGATGCTGGGTCCTCTAACAATGAAACTTTGTATACTTATGTACTTTTGTGGTGAGGACAACGACAAAGACTCCGAGGCAATAATTACATGTTACTTTTTATATGGGTATTATGCATGTGCATGCCGTAAAAAAGGAAAGGAGACAAGTAAATAAAAAAATTCTTCGAATTAAGAAAGTGTGGAATATAGGGATGCCGTAAAAAGCAAGGAGACAAGACAGGGATGACCTAGTTTATGTGATGCAGTAGTACAATTGGATGATGGTTACATCTTCAAACTGACATCGCTTGCTCGGGTACATTTTCATCTGCACAATCTCTATATTGTTGCCATTTTCTCACAACATAGTTTGAGGACAATGGTAAAGGAGGGCCACAAACACAGCATTGTGAAATGCATCGTTAGTCGAGCGAACATGGAAGTCTCACAATGCAGTCATAACAAAGAACTTAGTAGCTGTCAGAGAGGGCAACACCTGTGCATTACGTGCTTAGGAAATGAGTCATTCTATATATGAGGGTGCACAGTCAAGCTTCGTGACAGATTGTGACAGCATATTATACTAAATACGCTTTAGAGTGCAACAGCAAATACTTGGTTCATAAGTCTTGTCTATAATTATGTCTGTCAGTCTCAAATCCGATTAATCTTGCATCTTGCGCACAAAAAGGGACCCTTGATAATATAGTACAATAAGGAAATAAAAACGAAAAGCTGTTCACTCTCAAAAATTGCTTACCTGAAAACGTAGAGGGCGTTTTTTTTTAAAATACAGCAAGGTCCCATAATAGGACTGAAACACTGGCATTTTCGTCAGAGCTGTGATACTTCATGCGAATAAGCTTGCGCAGACATGTGGACACGGGCATCAGTAGAGAAAATTGTTGTAATTTCGTGTCAGGCTGTCTTTAAGAAACCAAGCACAATGCGATGCTGCGAGTTCAATTCTTTTTCGTTACTTTTTCACCTTTTAGCAAATTGCAGGGGTGACAGAACTATTATTATTTCACCTGCAAAGATCACTGCATCATAAAAATATGGCTTCTGTTCAAGTTCTGAGGGTATAATTATGTAAGATGTTCTAGTTTGCATACAAAACTGTTTTGATGTATAAGACACACAAGTTTTTCATTGATGCTTACCTTCAGATTCTGCTTAATGTCGTTACAATTCTGCTTTCATACAGCTGGTTAGGATACTGGGCCGGCAGTTGATATATCAATGAAGAAGAACGTGTGAAACAGAGGAGTTTTGAGGTGCGAGGTGTTGTGTCCCTATATTTAAAAATATTCTTTCATAAGTATTTAAGTTTATCATTGTGTGAATGCTGCAGAGTACATACACATAATACACTGCATACTATTCCTATTACAATGAAAAGCACTGAAGTGCAACCCTTGGGGCACTATGACGCGTACGCGTAAGTAAACACATGCGCCGTAGCACTAATTGATGGGCTGGGTTTAGTTTTAGCCGTTACTCGTGGTCTCTTGCCAGCTTGCGCAGAGTCTGACGCGGGCTAACTACACTACTAGATAGCATGCGAGAGGTGATACATGCCCTGCATTGCATCTTCTGGTGCCTCCGAGGTACGCAGAGCACGCGGATCGATCAGACCGTGGTAAGCCATCCCGTCCGTTGTGTAGCTATTTGCATATTGGCTTTTTCGCGCTCTAGCTTTGCAACGGAGCAGTTTCAGAGAAAACAGTTCGAAACTTCTTACCTTCATTGCCCGTTAAGTAGGTCATATCCTTTGTGAGACGAACAAACACCCGTGAAGTGAGATGTAGAGTAACAGACAGACACACAGACAGACAGACAAACAAAACAGACCCAACTACCGTACCCTCGCTGCGCATGCGCGCCGAGTGTAAAAATTGCCAGGGTCTGCCTATAGCCTGACTCTAACCTTTTGATTATAACTTCTGGCGCAAGCGCAGAGCAGACTCGATTCATTACCTGCCCAAACGTCGTATTTCTCAGACACCTACAGCTCCAACGACAATTCCCCAGAACAGTGGATACTCACCATATAACATTAGGGGGTAGATTGTACCCAAGGTCAAAACTGTTTTACTGTGAGTTTACATTGCTATATACTCTAATATGTTTCTCAGATCCATTACCTCAGAAATGGTACAAACACATTACTAACCATTTGTTTCCTAGATATAAAGTGATGAGGGCTCTCAGAGAGAAATGAGCTTGATCATCAAGGTAGGTTTTAAGGTATGAGAGAGGTAACTTGAAACGACTATCAATGAAGGCTTCCGCTGTCATAAGCTGCATCAGTCGCTTGACTAGGTAGTGAACGAGCCACTGCTGAAGTGCTTGTATCACAATGCAGCCCTGAATAAAAAATACTTAGTTGAACTTTAAATGTTTAAATGTTGGAAAACAGGGTGTTTAAGAGTCAACATCAGCTACATGACAATATTATTTACAAGCATGAACTATAAAGGCAGGGGTATCTGACAACGGCACTGTCGCACATACCGTAACGTTATATGCAACTCTAAAGGGGAAAAACACAACCACTGTGTGGCAGGCCAGCAGATTTAGTTGACTGCTTCGTTTAGATCACTCATTCTTGGAAATCAACATTTAGTTTACCTCCGTTGATATATGAAAGTGGTTATCACTATGTATCTCTTGCTCTGTTGTCCTTTGCAGGAAACTAATAGCCTCATAAACTGCTTCTGCTCGAATCAAATGCTTTTGCCAGCTCATTTCCTCAATGTCCTTTAAAAATTCAGAATCACATTTGACAATAGTAAAGACTGCTTCCGTATCTGTCTTCAACTCATCAGCTGAAATCTGCGAAAACAAAAGGGGCTGACAAAGTGCAGTATGTAAATGCCATGGCTGACATCAGCATGTAACACTGTAATAGCCTTATTAAACATCGGCACACATGTGCAAGGATTACAGCATGTAACACTGTAATAGCCTTATTAAACATCGGCACACATGTGCAAGGATTACAGCATTAATTGATCTTGTCTGACTGTCTATCTGTCTTTCCTTGCCACCATGTGCAATAGAACTAGCCAAGATGCCGACTTCTTAGTTTGTGTTCATACAAGAGAAAATCAAGTCAACAAGTGTATCTGCAAATTAGTACCCTTCTAAAACTAAAGTCGACTTCCATTGCATGCCGTGCAAGCATCAGACATTTGCAATGAAGGGCAATTATCACCACCTTAAATGCTTAAAATGCCATCTACTGATGTACCTACTGTACACAGCACGATAGAAAGAGTTCAAAGCCTCGGTGCAAAAGGAACACATGTGCTATGTTATGCACAATACACTTTGGATGAGCCAGGCAGCGCAACATGGTCTGACCTGCAGACTAAGCCAGTTTCTTCGTGTCTAACAGCTTTAGTAAGTAGCATTAAAAGCAAGGCTGTGCTGGATACTAGTCCTCCGAGTGAGTATCCCTCATCGGTGTGCTGAACCTTGACGGTATCTCTTGAATTCAATAGTTTCCAGAAAAAAAGTCATGCTCTTGTAGCTCTAAAGCTCTTTGTATCGCACATAGCCTGTAGTGCCAAAAGAACCACCGACAAACGAACAGCTGCCGACAAACAAAGAAACAAACATGCACACATTATTTGAACCCTCGCTGTGCATGCTTGAAGAGGGTTAATAAAAAATCAAACGAAGGGTGATGTAGGGATGTTACATCAAGTAAAAAAGAGAAACAATGCCTAAACCAAGACAAGGAGTCATATAACCCCATCCCTACATCTTTGTGTTTCAAACCATGGAACATAATATGAACTCTAGATCTGTTTATAAGCAAAGACACAAAGATGAATGAATGGGGTACTGATGTCTCTCTGTCCTGGTGTAAAATGGAAAAATGATATAAGGATGGCTCAAAGCACCAAAAAAGGAAAGAACAAAGAGTCATTACACAGCTAAGTCACACAGAAAAACATGACACCATCCTTACACCTTTTGTCTGATCATACTTTCTTATGAACAAACAGATTTTTCCACTTGTTTATTTTTATGAACTGCTCTGACTACGATTATGGTCACTCTGATTTTCGTGGTGTTGATGATGAACTGATTCATCTTGTTCACCACTACCTCAGCAAACACTATGCACTGGCTTGGAAAATGGAGTTAGGCAGAGAAACCTATAAGATTAAGGATTAGACACACTCTATGTCGAAGGGCAGCAGCGTGCGCACGGTAAACTTATAAACAACAACAAAGGAATTCAGAGCAATTGAAGGAATTCAGAGCAAAACCACAGCCCGAAAAAATAAACAGCACATGCATTAGCTTAGTGGCCATGCACACCTCCGTGGAACCTGGAGACGTTCAGTGAGGCAACTTGTTAGGTAAGGAGATAGCGGGTCTGGAAGAAGAAGATGAAGAATATGATGATGACACAAACAATCGCATATGAGCTAATTCTCGTGTGAAGAACAAAGTATTTGGGCATCATAGACTATTACTAGTGATTTTTCAAGCCAAAGCGACACTTCTGGCGATTCTGGAGACGTTTATTGTTAAAATCAGCACTTCACATATTGTCGGTAAGGATGTTGATGATAATCCAGAGTTGGGTAAGAGTGAGAACTACGATACTTCAAAAGAAAATAATGGGCCCATCAGTGATTATGACTTAGTTTCAAGGCTTTGCTCGCCATTATCGTCGTTTGTTCGAGTTGTTTCGTATGCAGATCAAGCGAGATAGACTGGTGCCATCCGTTCGCTCTGAAAACAGTTTGGTCCACCCCATCAAAAATGTGTATGGAGGCAATGAGATGAACGATTCTCAGGCAGATATACTGGTTTTTAGTTATACGGAGCCAGCAAACTGCCACATTTTTTCAGACACAGTTTCATAATTTCTACATTGTTAACTTTTGGCTCATATACGCAGCGAGGGTTACAGTACTTGGTTTGTCTGTGTGTCGACGGTTATTCTGGCACTACAGGCTACGAGGCGGCCAATGAGCGATACCAACGGCTTCAGAACTATGAGAGCCAGAAAGGTAAGCAGGGGATTTGCATGAAACTGCCGCGTTCACAAGAAACAAAAATCCTGGCTTACCTCAACCTGATTTCACTTGCAAGATAGTTACGTGTGGGGGGAGGAGGGTTGTATTCATTTCAGCTTTGCTCTGATCATACTGGCTAGCCCGCACATAAAACAGGCTCTGTCGAGACCACGTGGCATGGCCCGGCCCATCAATTAACACGGCGCTGTATGCGGATATGTATTGTGCACCAGCTGCGCATCAATGTGCGTGCACTCCTTTTGCGCCGAAAGTTTGCACTTTAGTGCTTTTCATTAACCAAGCAAAGCTTCTTCACCCTGAAACCTTCCTGAATTTAAGGTTAGGCTTGACTTTAATCAGAACACCTTAGTAACAACACTATAATTATATGAAATGCTACTTATCACTAAGTGTGGTAGTACTTAAGGGGTGACAGAGTTCATCCTGCATTATGCCAATACATTTGAGATTTGTATGTTTCACTTTCAGTTTCAAACTTCTGACATAACAATCTGATCCGTATTGGCTTATATCGCATAATCTGTAATTGATTTTTTAAGAGTGTCCATTCTTGTTGTTGTCGTCGCTCAGTTGTGATATGTCGCATGTAGGCAGCAGCGGTGCGCAATCGGTTAAAACTTAATAAACAACAACAAACAGCCTCAGGCATTAAAACAACTATGTTTGTGAATATAACTTTCTTATGGTGGTTCCTCTCACAATGAAATTTGGTACACTGATGAACGAGTTCATCAAACCAAAATTTGTAAATAACAACAAACAGCCTCAGGCAATAAAAACCTGTTTGTTCCTATAACTTACTTGTGGTACACTGATTACAGTTCATCGAAACAGATTTGTAAACAACAACAAACAGCCTCAGGCCAAAAAAATTGCAAATCATGTTTGTGCCTATAACTTGCTTTTTGTGGGTCCTCTAACAATGAAACTTGGTACATAGATTTACCATGATAAGAATTTAGGTTTGTAAACAACAATAAACAGCCTTAGGCATATTAATCTATAACTCGCTTATGCTGGGTCTTCTAACAATGACTCTTGGTACACTTGGTGGTGAAAGAATGTGAATGAAGACAAACAGTCTGAGTCAATAAACACATGCTATGGGCATTATGCCCCAATGCATGTGAAAGCCGTAAAAAAGGAAAAGGAGATTTTTGAAAAAAAGGGTGAATATAGGGATGGCATAAAAAGAAAGGAGACAAGACAGGGATGACCTAATGTATGTGATGCAGTAGTAGAATGGATGATGATTACATCTTTAAACTGACATTTCTTGCTCGCGTTAATCTTCCTCCACACAAGCCCTATATTGTCGCTATTTTACATGAGTTTGTTTAATGAATGATGTGAAGGATTGGTGAAGGGAATCTGTAGAGCATGGTTTTATAGTTGAGCGAACATGGAAGGCACACATGCAGTCACAATTCAAAACCGAGGAGCTGTCAGAGAGGGTAACACCTGTGCATTATATGTCTCACAGGCTTAGGAAATGAGTCATAGCTGCACATTATACGAGGGAGCACACTCATACTTTGCGACTACACTATTTCGAAGAATTTTTGTATAATTTTTTTGCCACAAATGCAGGTACTCTTGCTTTTGTCATAAGACAAAAATACTAACGTGAATCATACTGTATACAGGGCACATGGCATTCTCAAGCTGTGCTGGTTACTGTTTTTCTATGCTGGACTTTGAACTCTGAATAGAAAGTAAATGCAGAATGTGTGGAGTAGTTATACGCAAGGACGTTTGCTACGTAACGATCGTCCTCATTGATTGTTCTGAGAACCGAAAAAAGGGAAATAGAAAGTAGAATTATAGCCTAAAATTCGAGTGGGAACAGGTACTAATGACTGCAGTAATTTGTCAGTAAGGAACTTACACAAGGAATTTGCAATCCTAAATTTTCTCTGAGGTATTTCAATGAAAGATTCATTAAGTAAACCTCAACGTCTTCCTCAGAATCAGGAGGCATTTCTATTCTGTTGCACTGGAACACAAACTCAACTGGAGGCAAAATACAAAGAACAAGAGAGTCAACTGTGTCAGACTGGCGAAGTCCATAGAATCCAGGTTTGCCAATGTGCTGAACAAAACTCTCAACCTAAACAAAAAGAAGCACAAAGAAATTGTTACTGAAAGCTTACGAGGCTACGCAACGCCTGTATGTGTGTGTCGGTGTGCCTGCCGTTGTGCCTGCCTGTCTGGCTACAGATCAGAGCTACAAGTGCATGAAAAAGACTGCTTTAAAGTCATATGCTGTGAAAACAAATAATCACACCGGAATATCTCGGCCGTGCTCCATTTACCTTGGGGGCACAATTATAATAATGCAATAACGCATTCTGTCTACTCGTGAAGACTCTCTAGCAGGAGACTACAGTAAATGCATAGCCCAGTGTGCCAAAGATTTGTACTTTAGTACTATTCATGAAGGTTGATCCTAGGTTATCTCTGTAAATTCGGGTTGCATTTGATATCAGTTTGTTCCAAATTAGCAGCTTACTTTTTCTTTTGCGGCAAGAAGCATTCTCACAAGGCAGGGTGGAAGGGGAGAAAGGGCATTGTCCAGCAGAGTTCCATGTGTTATGGAGTACTTCTCGAATCTGTTCAGAAATGGTGCTGGTGTTTGCTTAACTTCTGACTCTTTCACAACCACCACACATTGAAAGTTAGGGTGGATCCTGCATGGTCGTGAATGTGCACCGATTGCGATGTTTGTATAGTATCTGGGACCCTCATGGGGGTTGTCAATACGACGAAATCGCTGATTGAAGAGGTCATAGAAACTTTCATGTATGCTGTCTGTCTGGCTCATTATTACTGTATGACCTTCTATTGCAGAGTGACGAATTGCAGCAATTGTGTTTATCTAAAATATAGAGAAAGTGATCAAGTTAGATTTGAACAAACATACATGCTTAGGCCTGTGTGAGTATGCAGCACAGATTTGAAATGGATTGCCATGTCATCATACATTTTGCAAGAAGGTAAAGAGGGGAATCGTGTAAAGCACATGCATTACTTTCTACTGCAGATGAGACAAAACTACAGCTCTAAAACCTTTGTGTAATCCATCAGCTGAATCAAATAGTGTGATTTTAAACTTGCAAGCACACATACAAATTCATGTAATATTGAAAGGGGAAAATATCTTTTGTCACTATCTAGTCACCAAAAGGATAAAGCTTACAAGATGTACACAATAGCTACATCCTTAATCTTCGTAACACTTGCCTTTTGCGTTTGAATTTCCCCTGGAAAATCACTGCACATATAAACCTTTGTAGTTTGTCGGTTAAGCACTCCGAGGGAAAAAAGTAAGGGGATTATGGACCCATCTTCAGAAGGGTCAATAATAAGTTTGTATCGAACCTCACACTCAGATATATGCTTTCTGTCCTCTGGATTATCTTTTAGACTATCCTTTAGTACATTCAAAGTAGTTCGCTTATGAACTGAGTCGAACTTAAACTTCATCTGTGGAGGATTGCAAAAAAAATATTTTAGCAGATATACCGTAATTATATACTCACAACTAATAAATGCTTGGTGTTGCAAAATGGGAGTGACAGTGATATATATACACATGTGTCGATTCTTGATCATGGTTTTTCTGTTTACTGATCAAGTTTCTGGATCAGGATATCCGGGTAGTAACATAAAACACTCTAAGCTGGTCTGATTTCTTGGTCATGCTGATTTACATGAATTGTGTAACAAAGGTTATGCAATTGAATTCATCATATGCAGCAAGAGAGACAAATTCCTTTATGTACATTTAGCAATCTGATTTGCTTACTTTTAGCGAACCTGACTCAGCATAACTAAGAAATAGACGCTAAAACACTTTTGCACTGGAGCATTAGGTAATAGGTTGAAGCTGTACTATTACCACATGCAGCTTTTCTATAATCACTACAATAAAAAGCAGTCAGCGATAATTAATACTTACAGCTCTTAGAAACTCCTTCGCAATTTCATCAAATTGTTTAAATCCATTGAAATTTCTCTCAATCGCCTCCATCACCACCTGCTCCTTAAGCATTCGCCCATGTCTCCGCCGAAGGTAATTTATGAAGTGGATGAAGTCACGAAGACCAAAGAAATGACAGAAGGCCCTTCCCTTTTTTTGCATGAGCTCATAGAAAGCACAAGAGAAATTTTCAACCAATTTTAAGTCATTTTGTGGTTGTAGAGAATCTGTTTTTGAAGATAAACACTCCTTGGCAAGTGTTTTTAGTCTTCTTTTGTAGCCTCAGACCGAAAAAGGCATATAGCACGGTTACTTTTTGCTGCATCAAGCATGTGATTTGTTATAGCCACAAAGGAGACCTCTTGGCGGTCGAGGTGGTAGTGGAGGACTTTCAGGGACTCGTGGCTTTCCTCTGGAAGCCCAGCCTCGTCCATGAACACTACACAATAAATAGGCAGAAAAAAGCGGGAGTGGCTTTGCTGGCGATTGATTGCCCGTGAGAAAACAGTTTCAATTTCATTTGATGTTGTTTGACGTGAACATTGATAAAAGTGAGGATCAAGGGAGTGAAAAATCTCAGTGTTGCTAAAAATATCTACTGTTGATTGCTTGCCCCTTTAAATTATCGATAACAAGATTAAAAGAAAGTGTTTTTGATGACCCAGGAGCACCCACAATGATAAGAGGGTGCGTGTGCACGTGCAAACAATTGTAGCAAAGACATTTTCCATCAAAGCCTGTGTCCGAGCAATGCCAGTAGGGAGTTTGATGTTATCCATGAAGAACTTTACTTCTTCCTGGAATGCTGCAGAGAAGTTAGGTTTTGTGGGAGATTTGGCATCCATCTCTTTCTTATATTCATTCCTGTACTCATTACTGAGGCGCATGTAGTAAACAACGCCAAGGGATACTAAGATAGCACGACGTGAATAGTCGCAATTTTCCCATGATGCATTGAGGCTTTGTAGAACTTCTGAAGCCATTGGAATATAACAAACACTCGTTGAATATCTCTTTGGCTAACACAGCTCCAGGCTTCGACACTAGCCTCGCTTGATTTATTTTTGTGAAATTTGCACAGGTGCTTTGACACATAAGTTCGCATCAGCTTCTGGCTCTCAGAAATCAAAGTAGTCAGGTCTTCAATATAATCAACAGCAATCTCTTTACTTAACATTCTCATCTTTGCATCAATGTAGTGCCTTTCTTGCCTCTCATCCAGTGACCCATAGTCCCACTTGAGGAGTTCTAAAGTTGGGTGAAGTTGTCGCACATAGTACGTACTGCGAGTCCAATCATCCATTGAAAAAGTTTTGTTGCTGCTTTCCGTATGAACTCCAAGGCTGTTGCCACGGTGGGGGTTGCAGGCAGCAACAATGAACATATTTTCTGGAATAGGCTAAATAATTATTTCGATTATGGCAACACCTGTTACCACACAACAGTAGAGAAGTGCATACAAACACCATATAAAGGATAATATCACTAAGTATGGTAGTACTTATTATATATGGATGGATATGGTATATACATCATAGATGTATGGGGTTATTACCCTCGGTGCGCATGCGCAGCGAGGGTACAGTAGTTAGGGTTTGTGTGTCTGTCTGTGTGTCTATTACTCTACATCTCACCTCTCGGATGTCTGTTCGTCTCACAAACGATGCGACGTACTCATCGGGCAATGAAGGTCAGAAATTATGAGCGGTTTTCTCTGAAAAATGCTCCGTTGCAGAGCGACATCGCTTCCAGCATTGTACGGCTAATGCGTAGTCGGCCATTTTTTGTGTGCGGAAAATGCGCATGCGGTTATTATGCTAATTAGCACAAGCTTACCCCGACCGGGCCGCTTGCTCTGTGTAACTTGAAGGCATAAGAATTCACTACCGTACTTAGTGATAGGGATTGGCACGGTACCTAGGATTACAGATGTATGGGGCTATGATAAAGAGTTTTGTTCATCATCATCTTCTTCTTCAACCAGCATAACTCAAAAACCGAAAGAGATAAAGCCATGAAATGCAGGAATGTACATATCGATAACCACATGTGCAACGTCATACTTTTTTGTTTGTAAACAATGTTGTTTACTGTAAACAACAATAAAAGTGCCCCATTATAATTGGCATACTAGATGTGTCGGTGTAACTCACAATTGGTAAGAGCTATGTGGAAGAGAGTTTGTATACATAATGAATTCAATAGCCAACATCAAAATCACAACAACACATGTTTGTAAATAAGAACAAATAGCCCCAGGCACGTTTCTTTAAATAATACTTCTTCACTCCACAAACTTGCTAACTGTAGCACGCATAGAGATGAAACTTGGTGCGCATGCCTATTATATCATTTCCATGACGATTACATGTTTCCATGACGACCGCATATTGTTCGAAAAGGCCTCAGGCAATTTTATTTAAATTATTTCTTCACTCCTCAAACTTGCTAATTGTTATGGTCAGCTGATTACACTTTCACCTAAATGCGCACTCCATGGAAATGTAGCATGACAAATCTATCAAAGGTAATTAGTAAGTACTTCATTACCTATAGCAATATTCTACAGACTCTCTCATAACTCCCACTCCCACCCTACGAAGAAGATTGAAAACTTTCCTTATCATAGCCCCATGCATCTATGATGCTAGGTACTCCCACCGTACGACGATATAGGGCTGTTATAATGACCTGTGGGAGTCCTAACTCCTCGCTAGCATCTCTGTGTTTCCACAAAAACCATCCCTATCTTGTCTCCCTTTCTTTTTATACGATCCCTATATGCACTCTTTTTTTCTTGTAAAATAAGGGGTTGTCGCTGAATAATTATGATGGGATGTAAGCATGTCGCTTATGTGCAAGTTTCAAGCTGCGCTAAGACCCCACCGTTGAAAAACAAATATCTCTACAAAGTAAACAGCTAAGGCATTTTTACGAAGCTCTTATACGTAACAATGAAAAGTAGAGTAGAAGCCAGGTATTGGATGAGTTTTTTAACCTGATGCTCCGATTTCCATTGCTTGCTAAAACTGTCGTGCATTCATTACGACACATTAGACCTACCTCTCCATCAAAAGTGTGATCCACTATTAGTTCCTTGAAAAGCCCTAAACATGACGAAGTGTTGATTTCATCCAGAAAGACCTAGAATAATCATAAACAGGGTACATTAACCATCGGCAAAAATGATGACATCATTTCATACATTGAAAATGTAGTTTGTGACACTCGCTGATAATAATTATTAAAAGCACTAAAGTGCAAACCCTCGGCGCAAAATGCGCGCGTTGTAGCGTTGCTGTATGCTGGGCCATGTGTCGTCGATGGAGCCAGTAATACGAGTCTCGCCGTAACACAGGCTATAGTTGCATCAGAGGGGTATTTAGAGCAATTGCTGAGGTGTCTCACATTTGCTTTATCTTCTCTTCTATGTTTCAATGCTGGCGACATACTGTCAGACTGCGCTTTTAAGGTTTAGATGGGAAGGCATGGCTACATCCACAAACTGATCGTCTCACGATGCTACATTGCGGACACACCTTTCTCAGCTTCTTATCCATTGGGAACAAAGTGAACAGAGATCAAAAGTGACAGAGGAGAGACACTCAAATTGCCCGGCCATCGGATCCTATGCAACCACGTGGCGTATGTGCATGCTCCTGACATGACCCAGCATAACCTGCTGGCGATGGCGCGTGTGCGATCGATCGCATGTTTGCTTTTTCGCTTGTTCTCACGCCATATCTCTGGAACACAGTCATTTCAGGAAAAACGCCACGTTAAAATCAATGTTCTCGTTCAAAAGCCGTTTGTGCCACTCATTGGCCGCCTCGTAGCCTATAGTGTGAGAACTTGCGCAGACAGACAGACAGACAGACAGACAGACACACCAAGTACCGTAACCCTCGCTGCGCATGCGCGCCGAGGGTTAAAAATCGACACTCACAGTGATAAATGGAAGTGAGGCTCTTCTTGTCTTTTCCGTCAAAAGGTGTGTTCATTAAAAATCTGGCCTGTTCTATAGCAGGATGAAGGTGTCGCCCAACCTGCTGTGGTGTGAGGGCTGCATGTACATTGATCTTGTGGAAGGTTGATTTCACTTCAGATGTTAACACGGCATGGAGCAGACACGCCGTAGCCTAAAACAAAATGATCAAACCAATATGCTGAATTAAAGCAATGAAAAGCACTACAGTGCAAACCCTCGGCAAACTGCGCATGCGCGGTACTGCTAATTGATGGGCTGGGCTATTTCGTGGTGGTCTCCCGCTAGTATAGCTCGCGGAGAGTCTGACACGGGCTAGCTACAGTAGTAGATAGCATGCGGGAGTCGATACACGCCCTTCGTTGTGACTTCTTGTGCCTTCAAGATACACAGTGCAAGCGGGCCCGGTCGAATTAGCATAATATAACCGCATGCGCATTTTCCGCAGCGATGAAATTGGCCGACTACGCATTACCTGTACAATGCTGGATGTGTTCTAGCTTTGCAACAGAGCATTTTCAGAGAAAACCGTTCGAAATTTCTGACCTTCATTGCCGGTTAAGTAGGTTGTATCGTTTGTGAGACGAACGAATGTTCGAGAAGTGAGATGTAGACACACAGACCCAAAGATGGTAGGGATTGGTTGAGTGGCGGTCAACCCCCCCGCCTTCTTTCCCTGATTTCGTCTTGCCGGCGATGCACAGCGAGGGTACTGTAGTTGGCTACAGTACCCTCGCTGTGGAGTATGCCAGGATCAGTGAGTATACACATGCACTGTGCCATTAAGCCTTCACTGTCACCATTCAAAGCACATTTTTCCCCTGTGTTGCTCCCCACACACATTTTCCATAATGCGTTTTGCATGATCACAGAGCAGGCTGAAAGGTACAAAGTTGTATAACTTTAAAGTGGTATCCAGATAGACTAATAGTGCTATTCCTAGAAAACTGATTCTTGTCTGTTGCGTTCCTATAATGCTTGTCATTGTGAAACGAGACTGCATGGCATAGGTGATCACGTTTGTAATCCTGTGCATTCAAACTTTTTAAGAACCCATAGGGGTATAAACACACACTGAGCAAAATGTTTAGCACCTTAGTACTTATTAAACCTTCAGGAGTGGTGTTCCTGGTTAATTCACCCAAAGGTGGAGGGTGGATAAACCACAACACCATGACAAAAGGTGTGTATATTGCCGTTGATTGGTCGTTCTCCCCCATGCGTGAAAAAGGTATGGTCATATTTTTCAAATAAGGACTACTGCATGACACTGAACAGCAACGCGCAGAAAACGAGGGAGAGAGACAGAGCCTGGAGAAACCGTGGAGGGCGGCTGTGAGTACCAGGAATGGCTGACAAAAGAACTTAGCAAAGGACTGCCACATACAAGCTTGTTCTGTGGTTGATTAGTGGCATTCAGCGACACCCTTTCCTACACGCGTCAGTTGTGCCATCTTATTCTGGTAGTAACCAGCACAGAATCAGTCACTGAAGTGTGACGACTACAACAGACAGTGGCATTCAGAATAGCAGCACTTATGGAGGCAAGGTCGTGTATGAAGTGAAAACCAGAAACTAGGTTACATCGCTGGACTGTTGCGATAAGACCTGCGTCACTCATAAAGACGGAAACAGTTCACGGTTCATTGAAGTGGGGCCGACCCTCAGGTCTCAAGCAGCAAAACACACTGCTTCTGAACCATGTAGCTTTTTTTCTATAGCCTGTTTTATTCTGTATGATCTGTGTATGTAGATATCAAACAAGATATCCAGCCCTGCATTCCTTGTCCATCCTAAACACGGTGATTATTCTTATCTTCACTGTGGATATTCACATCTTTAGCGTGGATATTCTCACCTTCGCACCTTCTTGAGTTCATTAGAGGATTTATTGTAAATATACGTAGCAATGACGTTATAATAGATGGTTGTACATCATATAGGCTAAAAAGTGCATACCTACAGAATGTGCTGCACTACCAACTTGCATTATAGAAATCAGTATATAGAACATTACCTGTGCACTTTTGTCACTATACAGAGTGAAGTATTCACTTAGAGGCTTCTGGCCTTTTGTCTTCGCTGTAAGAAGCAATAAACTTTTATCTTGCTTCATACTTGATAGCTCAGATTGTAGAGTTGTGTAGAAATAGCCCGTGGATGACGTTGCATCTGGAAGGCAACACACATTTACCAGATCTTCTTCATTAACTGGTACTCCAGCACTTATATCTCCCACACACGCAATGCTTTTCTGTGAGTGTGTGTGTAAAATGTTAGAGAAACAATGAGTATCAAAGAGAAAACACAGATCAGGAGGGAAAGAAGAAAACAACTTTCGGAGTGAAACTCAAACGTCATAATTGGATGTCCAGTGCACTACATACTGAGCTATACAATTCACAGACAAACTCAGGTTTTCCCTGTTGGAAGGTTGGAGAAGATAAGCATATGTGAGGCACAGTGCACTGGACTTCTAGGCATGGCACCTGAATGCCACCTTGGCAATGTTTTTACCTGTGTATTTGTACCATTTTGTCAGTTATCACTAAGAATAAAGTTGTCTATGACAGATGCAACCCTCTAAAGCAAGCTTACCATATCCACGGAATTATTGGCAGCTAGTTGTTGAAGTTTTCTTCTCATAAAATCAAGAATACGACCCTTTCTCAAGTTTAATTCATGTAGCAAAGAATGGGTCCACAAATTAGACAGCATCTCCAATAGTGCTGTCTTTCCTACTCCAGTCTCGCCCTCAATAATAACTGGCACTCCACACATACGCCTAAAAGGATTATGCACTGCTCAACTCCAGACACACATAATATATATGAATACTATTGACAAAAATCATAATGGTATAGGGGTCGCATAAATAGCAAGGAGACAATACTGCAATTATTGGTGCATCCGATGCTGTGGCACATTGGTGTGACCTGGTCATGTGCGTCTTTCACCACACAAGTCATAATGACATTGTTGCCACTTGGTTTATTACAAAACTCAAAGTTGCAAGCACTCTCCACAGTGAAGTTCGTCTGTGTGTATGTAGCATCTATCTGGATGCATAGATCACATGCACAGAAGGCAGAGTAAAAACTCAGCATCTCTTAGCTTCAATACAAGAGTTTCACTGCAAAGCACTCAACCTGAAGTGCTCATTATAGATACTGGAACTACATGCACCTGTGCCCCAGAGATAGTGTCCTCGCTATGCTCGGCATGCCATTACTTGGGCCCTCAGTTTCTATATTATATTACGCGCCATTATGGGGCAGTTGGCAAATCAATGTTTTTTCTTCTCACATCAGAGGCGAAATGCTGATGTCTGAGATTATTAAGTCAGGAGCCCCTGTCGCTGAAGAGTGTCGCCACACCTCCCTGCATCAACCAGCACCATCGGCTACACGTAATGCCAGGAGTGCACATAGTAAATGCAACTCAGAAGCATGATTGGAGTATTACACTTGTACTTATCACATAATTATATGTACCTCTCATGAATGTTGAGCATTTTAATGGTGTAGTCCAGAGTTAAAACATAGTTGCATTGATCAATAATATCCTTTACTTCAAAGTTAAGAGCTCTAGACAAATAATCTTCAAGAGTGGTTCGTTGATGTAGTTCACTGTAATAATGTATAAATTTTATCACGTGCTGCTAGTATTAAATGAACATGCTGATACAACAGTACCTAAACTTACTCCATTGATGGAATTTGTACTCCAATCTTTTCGAACTTGATCACATCATCAGAAGGAAGTTCATCAGGGTTAAGTGAGAGAAGACCGAAAGAACCTCCACCGTCTTTGATTTCATAGATCAACTTGAGCAATGAGAAAAAGTAAAAATCAGACGGTAAAGAAAGGTTGAAAAGTTCTATATATTTTCCAGCTAATTACAAGGCAGTATAATTACTGCTGTTCATAAGAGCCTGTTGACAGTAGAGTGTGGGTGCATATAAAAAGCATTGGGGTATAAAACATTTCTTGAGAAGTCACTAAGGATAAATCTAAAGACAAGTAATGCCTGCAAGGTATAAGGAGGGTGAAGGCAAGGTGAAGGCAACTACATGGTCCTTATCACATAAATAGCATTCGTTAGACTAAAGCGTCGTGCATGCGCAGGTATGTCCGGTCCCCAACATAGAGAGCATGATTGCCTCATAATGTACTTTAATTTTGTGAAGCCGACACAATATCACAACTGGAAGGATGAAAGCCTTGGAGGGACATTGTGATACTTCGCCCTTGCCCTCTTATAAAACCTACACTAGCTTGCAGCCATTACTTGTCTTTAGCCATTCTAGGATTGCACATCGGAGTGTTCAGACTCTATATCACAACGTGAGTTTGAAGATGCTTTCTGCAGAACTGCTGTAGTAAAATCCATCTGAAACCTACTGCAATCTTTGCCTCTGAGATAGAACCTCCTGAAATTCCTTGAGCACTCATCCAGTCGTATCTGTCTACCACTTAGCTGGAAAGCTTGTCAGCAATCACGTTCTGTATCCCTTGGACATGCGGTGCCATAGGTTCCTGGACTGTTTCAGTCTACTCCTGAGTCTGGTGGAGGAACAATATGTCATCCATATAGATCACCATATACTCAGTGGCTTCTGAGGAATGAGACCACTGTTTTGGTGATCTTGGTGAAGGTCCAGGGGGCACCAAATGAAAACATGTGAAGTGGAAATTGTACCATCACCATGCAGAGGAAAAGAATTTCTGGTGTTACGATCTGAGTGGCACCATGAAAGATGTCCATCATTTCCCTGTAGTCTCCCAGAGATATGTCCATTAACATGGAGATCCCCTCCATCTTGAAATGAAAGTGACACAGGTATCTGTTAAGACCCTTCAGATTTATATGTCTCAAACCTCCACCCTTATTTGCGATCGTCAATAGAGTTGCCTTCTGGGACTACCTGTATTCTACAATTGCTCCTTTCATGAGAGATTTTATCTGTGAGTCTATGAATACCCTCTCCTCGTTTGAATCAACCATGACTGGGTGAGAGGATTGAGTTGGGGTATGTGTTAATGGGAAAATTAGAGCCCTTGATTGTGCTCAGTACCCATCTGTCATTTTTGTAATGTTATCCACTTCTGAGTGTTGAACCTGAGCATTTCGTGCAGGGGTGATGGGTTTGATGGTGGACTTGGATGGACCCGTAAGTGTAGATGTCGGGCCAAATTCTGGTTGATAGGGTTCTAGGGGGTTTTGTGGTGTTCATGTGTAAAGCACCCTCTGAGGGGATGGTGCTTTGCACTTATAATGTAACTGTACCTCCTGAGGGGTTTGTGTACCTGCACACCTTCCAAGGGTGTGTGTGCTCTCTGGGGACTCGATCATTCTTACTTCTTGGTCCCTGGGTTTCAAGGAAGGATGAGGGGACATGAATTCGGGAGGGGATTGGCTTCTCACGGTGTGGTGGGCCGACTTCCCCCTGCATACCGCTTTGCCAAAAAAGCTGTTTCTGGGCTCTTGGGTGCATCTACCCACTTCTGGATACAATCAATGGCACGATCTCCAAACAGGGCATCTGAGAGTTGAAATTCTTCATCCGCCATATATGACCTATCTGGGAGTTGATGCCCAGCTCTTTCTCTCGCCCGGAAAGGATAGAGAAAGCTGCACTGCCTCCACAGTTCAGGATATATCCCGATCTGTCTCTTCCTCTGAATTTCTTTGCCCTCGTTGGTATAAGTAGCTAGTGCCACGGTACTGAACCCCAGCATGTGCCGTGAAATGTGTAGGACCTGCCTGTATCAGCAGGTAAGTGTGGGCAGAGCCTGAGGGGAGATTCACCCTACTCATGTGACCTCTGGGCTGAGAGACCACTGCCTGCGGGTAACTTAAGACAGGTCCCAACAGTGTCTCCCCCAAGCATTGAATCGCCTCCTGGGAGGCCGTTAGTTGTTTGACTAAGTATGTAGGGTCATCCCTCTCGCAAGTATTATTCACGCCTGCGATCGTCATATGTCTCGATTATGGGGCTGCTGCTAGGTAACCCGGTGTCCCTGACACTCTTGACTAATTTCAACAGGTCTCTATTGTCTAAGAGAACGGCTTAGCTTGGATTCTATTCTCCAATGAAATAGGAAATAGTTGGGTGGGTTCAGTGGCATGGAGTACCCGGAGAAGAGGTCGAACACGGTCACGTGAATAGTACAAGAATTTCAATTAGCACATTGAGGAATACACGACCTTCGACGACTTGGTCAACCTATGCTTACTTTTTTGAATAAACAGACGGAGCATTCGCTGGAAACCACACGGAGAGTTGTAAAAAGGATCAAAGCAAGGTACTGTGCATTTAGCTTGGCTCTAGGGCTTACGCTGGTGAGTGTGACAGAGTTATTAGTATTCTTCACTATATCTTGCCGAGCGGTAGGGGATCGCTGGGGATAATAGGATTTTCAGCATCTTTCTTACATATTACATCGAGTAAGTTGCAAATCCCCTCCGAATCCCGTTGGCTTTGCTACAGCACGCTCTTTTATCTTCCCATACATTCTTTATGGGAAAGAAATTGGTGTGTCAGCATAAATTTCATTTACAATGACGCAATCCCTGCGTATGTCCGACCTCCTCTGGAGTACCCGTATACACTGAACTTCGATTTGTATGCTACTGTCACACTATCATAAGCTCAACACTTCCTTCATGCTGGGACATACTTGAAAGCTACTTTCAATAGTGACTAATTTTTGAGAGTTGATCGCACATATTAGTTTAGGAATCTACTCTTGACTTTCGACACACATGCGCAGCCAAGGTGTCTGTGTGAAAGCAATTCTCACTCGCACACTAAAGGTTATCCAGTTTATCATTGCTCCAAGCAGTACTCGCTTCTGATCTTGCTAGCCCATGTAACAAACTGACATCACCACACGTGTCACATGCAATGACAATCAGTCTGACACTGATGATATAGAATGTGAATTTCCCGTTCTGAAAGTCATTAAGCGAAAAATTATTAGTCGATATTTATTACAGTGATTTGGATTTTTCTTGCTAAAGTTGCAATAGGCTTAATTAAAAGTTGCCCAAAAACTAATAAAAATGGAGAAAGCAGGAAAGTACAGGGAGATTTAGTAACATTCACAACCCCATCCCCACAGCAAAAATGAAAAGCACTAAAGTGCAAACCCTCGGCACTAAACGCGCGAGTTGTATGCTGGGTCGTAGCCTGTAGTGCGAGAAACTCACGTGGACAGACAGACAGACAGACAGACCAAGTACCATATCTCTCGCTGCGCATGCGCGCCGAGGGTTAATAAAAGCTGTAGCCATGCTGCATGTACGTAACAAGTAGGCATAATAGTAACGTAATTTCACAAGGAAAAAACAAATCATGCAGTTTTTAATGATGTGACGTCCCTTTAATCTCTGTGCATGTCAAAAAATTGTATTACAATGATGTAGCCTTCAAAATAACTTCCAGACTCACCTGCTGGTGCGGTTCATTTAACCAATTCTGCTTTACAAGGGAACAAAAGTCCTCTGCTTCTTTTAGCATAGTCTCCATTAGAGTTGATCCAAGTTGCCGTGTGTTTGATACTTCCTTCTGTCTTGTCTCTGGATCATCATAGTATTCTCCAGCTCCAGTATTGAAATTGAAGGCTGGAATTACGTCTAGGAAAGCACAGCGGCGTTTCATGTACCTGTGAATGTTGTTAAACATGAGAAAGGTGTATATTATACAGACTTATAATGGCTTTATGTCAAAATATTACCGTAGTAAGTAGTACAGTATACTTTTGGGGAAATGATTGCTAGAAAGGCACTTTTAACACTTTGCACATTGTGACTTTGCTAATTGGCGAGCGGAAGGTAGCTAACCTAGTGGTCCGAACGGCGCGATTTTTCTATATAATATATATATATATATATGTACCCGTACGTCGTCCAACTGCGCATGCTCCAGCATTACGCGCTTCTTTTTATCCGAAAGGGATTTCAACATTTTCATAATGCTGCCTGAATCGAGCGGAATCAGGGGAAATGCAACACCTCCGAAGCTATCGAGTATTGCTGCACAGTCCAGCGATAGCTTTTTCTACATTGCCACTTGTTCCCTATTCCTGCAAGACCAACCAGATTGCCGGATTATGCCTGATTCGCGCTGTCGACTGACTGTTTTTGACTCGACTCGAATTGTCTACTGCGCTCGGGTCGTTTCGGCCTACTTGGTCCTGTGTCTCACTGTTTTGTGCACACACAAGAGTGACTCATACGATTAGACCCCAATTGTAAGCGCGCTTCCGCTCGCCAAAAATGCCATGCATTCGCCTACTAGTAATAATTACTCCGTATTGTAAACACACATGCACAGAAGTACGTACTTCTAAAGCAACATGGTCCACTGGTAGGTGGATGTAAAAGTCATGTTTTTAGTAGTGTAGGTTCACTTAAATACTGTAATGTCTGTCTCATGTGGGTAGTTTGTATAACCGTTTACTTGACCTTGATGCATATGAGTAGGCCAATTTCGTGACCATGATACTAGCACCTGGTACTATAGAAGGGGTTATTTATTAAAAACTCTAGTAATACCATAAAATGTTTACTTAAAATGACATAGAGACAACATACGTACTTGATAAACAACTTTTGTCTAACTTTTGAGACTTCAGAAAATTTGGGCCAGCTTTTGGTTAGCAATTCGTAACATTTCTGATGAGAGAGATCTGGCTGTGTACTAAACTTCACAATATCTCTACCTATAAGATGTAGGAACACAATATATAAGAAAAAGGTGAGAATGTTAAAACCTACCGTTGAAGAGTTGGTTGATTCCACCACAGCCATTTTCCTTATACGTTTGGTAGGCATTGAAATACTTACAAACCAGTTGAACATCTGCATCAATAGTGTACTTTGTTCGTTGGTCAATAGGGCAGGGTTCACCAACGATGCCCAGTGCTGGTATTACTTCAATCAAGTTGGCAAGAGATTCTTTGGGGTTACCAGAACCAATCTGAGATGGCACTTCTACATATATCTTCCAGTCCATTCCACCAGATATGCAGACTGACAGACCAGTTATTGGATCTTCCACATAGCCAAGTAAAAGTAGGTCGAAGAAAAACCAACTGATCACCTTTATCAACTCCTTGTAATGCTTGCCCTCTCTCTCATCAACACTTTCCTATTATACACAAAATTGGTTGGGAGTGTGTACCAAGACGATGGTCATGGGGAGTTTAGTGTTTTATCTCATATCATTATCAAAATGAAAAGCACTAAAGTGCAAACCCTTGGCGAACTTCACATGTGCAGTACCACTAATTTATAGGCTGTGCTTTTTATGCCTTTACTCGTGGTATCCTGCTACTAGTATAGCTCGCGGAGAGTCTGACACAGGCTAGCTACAGTAGTAGATAGCATGCGGGAGTCGATACATGCCCTTCGTTGTGATTTCTTGTGCCTTCAAGATAAGCAGAGTGAGTGGACGTGGTCGAGGTAAGCCTGTGCTAATTTGCAATTGGCTCGTTGTGCGTAGTTGCAGAAAACGTGGTAACAGACAGACGGAGAGACGAGACGGACAGACAGACACACTTACAAACCAAGTACCATAACCCTCGCTGCGCATGCACACCGAGGGTAAACGCTTATCTAACTGGCAAGGTCAAGCCTGCGGAGAGAAATAAAGCAAGAAAGTTCTACATTCTACGGGACAGAGTGCCAAAGTTTTCCACCTGAAGGAGGCTGCTTGTCTCCATCTGTACTACAAGGTTACCTGCTATCACTTGCTGATGGGACAATGTAGTGATGGGAGCCAGTCAGGACTGGTATAAGTGAATCAGGGGCATAGCCAGGTTTGAATCTTAGGGGAGGCAAATGGCCATTTGCGTTACATGATTAATTGCGTGCATGCGCAATGATGTTGTGCAGTGTCAGTGTTTAATCGCGGAAGGCTAGAGCAATACGGCGATGCCCATAGCCACCCCAGGCTAGGAAGATACTCTTCGGAGGAGATGTCAGCTCTTGGTTGATGTAACCCGGTGCTAACTGCATGCTCTCGCTGCTGGCACTCGTCGTTGGTTACGCTGCGATAAGTTGTAATAAATTATTCATAAATCGGCAAAAACAGAGGAGGCAACTGCTACCCTAGTAGATAGCATGTGGGAGTTGATACATACCCTTACTTGTGACTTATTGAGCCCCCAAGGTACACAGAGCGAGCGGATCAGGTTGTGGTAAGCCCTGTGCGATTATGCATATTGGCTTTTTCGCTTGTTTTCACGGCATATCTCTAAAACGCAGTTGTTTCCGGAAAATCACCTTTTTATTTTTCAGGCTCGCGTAGTTCTAAAGCTGCTGGTATCGCTAATAAGCCGCTTCATAGCCTCTATTGCCAGAATAAGCGTCGACAACAGACAGACAGGACAGACAGACAGGCAAACCAACTACAATAACCCTCGTTGCGCATGTGCGCCGAGGGTTAATGAGCATGCAAAGTTTACTACTTACTCCAGGAGGAATCATGGTGAAGTTAAAAAACACAGCACATTCTCCTGGGTTGGAGGCAGTCTTTTGAGTTTCTGTATGGCACCAACAGGAGTGAAAGCTTCATTCACAGAAATTGTAACACTACAGGAGCTTCTCTGCAGCTGCTTTTTGATGTAGTGTGTCTTTCCATCACCTGAGGTAAACCAAACAACTTTTAGCCTAGTTCGCATGTGGATCTAAAACGCCACACTTAAATAGCATGCCTGCTATTTGTAGGTCAAAGTGTCAATCATCCTTGAATGAATGGCTAAATATTCAGTTATACCATTACACACAATGTAAGCTATGATTATAACTAATATGGTCGGCAGTTTTTCTAAAGCTTCGACCCCTGATGAGCAGCTGGCTCACAAAAATTAACTAGGAATGAGCACACGCATATTTTGCCTCGCGCCTGCCAGAAAATGCGTAAACAGTCCGACTGAGGCCGCTCGTGTCATACGTACGATGCATATCGTGAGAATACAACCCGGAGTAGTTGCCTCATGCTAACGCGCTCGGCAATAAGGAAAGGCTCTATGGGTAGTGGATGAAAGCTAAATACTTATTGCAACTCAAG